AAAAAAACATCGGTGAACGAAACTGCGGCAGCTACAACCACTGTACGACGAGTATGCGGTTATTACAGCTGACAATGATGATGAGTTTTTGTTCGTTATTCGGGTGCTTCAGTGTTTGGCAGCAAAGCCCAGTGAAACCACACACAGCAACCGTAGCGTGGAACGTTTCCGTCGGTGTTGAATGGATACTTAACAAGATAATGCAAGTTGAGTGGTGGGAAAAAGGTTCGGACGATCCTCTGAAACGTGGATCAAAAATCCACTACGAACACGCATAACAGTGTGACTGATCTGGGTAAAGTTCTGGTAACCGTCCATGCCTAGCCCTATCAGAGCAGCTATTTTACATTCGCAACTTCGCCAAGCTCGAATTACTAACCAGCGCATGTTTAGACACCCATTTCCAGAAACACAGAGGCAATATCGAGACCACAAGAGTTGGGTTTTTGAAACTATGGTCGCGGACATAAGAAGTATAAGGTAAACAGGGACTCACTCATAAGGATGAACACAGGATGCCGTTCGCTGACCACCTCCACAACTTGGGAAGACAAGGTCTCTTTCAAAGGGTCTGGTAAAAGATGAATTGCCTTTGACGCGTCTGTCTCCCCAGGAGTTTCATTCGTATCCGTTGGAGTGGTCGGTGTGTTCTTAAGGGAGCTAAGCGTTGTGTTCAACCAACGTTCAACGGTGAAAATAATCTCCTCGGCCATCGCCGCCCCTCGTTGTTGTGTGGAACTGGTGTGAGTAGGGTGGAGCAGTAAGAGCAGATACACAACCACAGTTGAAAATGAACTGCATCAAACGAACAGCTATATTTCTCTCAGGCAACTACTAGTCAGTTTGAGAATCAATTGGAGCTACCAAGTGGTTAGAGCGCGAATTTACTGCCCGGAAGGTCCGTGGTTCGAACCCGACCTCTGTTTCTCGAATTCCCCTGTCTAGGCTTAGGCAACCTGGCAGTGTCCCAGCCCTCGTGCCTCCATTCGTGTGGCACGGTATCTAGGCACCGAAGGGGTGCTACAGCTGAAAGGTTATATTTTTTGCCATAATTTCAACTGCATCTGGGTAGTTTGCCCTTTTGTTTTTTAGAAACCACTTATCTCTGCTCATTCCATCTGGCATTCTCCATTTCACTGTCAGCATCTGAGTTGGATGCACTGGAAATCACAGTGGCTGTATTGAACGTTCAAGTGGCACGGCTATAAGATTCACAAGACAACGGACGAACAATGACGGTGACAGAATGCAAAACCACAAGTCACTGGGGAAACTCGAGTCATTTCTAATTGGTGTCGAAGTTGCAGAACTACACAAGTCCTCCCGAGGTAACTCTGTATAAATAGCAACGCAGATAGGAACGACATTATTCGTTCTAGAGAAAAAGCAAATTCCGATATGATGTCTTGGTTTGGTGCACTTGACTTATTCGTCAGGAAACTGGAGTACGTGCGAACCGATCTTGCTGGGAAAACCAGTAAGTAGAGCTGACTATCGACATTTTGAAAGCTGACATTTATATACACCGTTGGCTATATTTTCAAGGGCACAGATAGCCACCGAACACCACCAACAGTGAATTCATTCGGATACGGCCTTCGTCCCCATTTACACGCACATCAACATTTCGACGTTGACCATCCAGAACCTGGCAAGCGTGTGCAGTGGGAGTTAGTGCACGCCGGAAGCGGTCTGTAAAGCCCGACAGCCAATTATGAAAGCCAATATGTGCAAACAGTAGTAGCTGTCGTCTTCCTGGTAATGGACAAAGGGAGGAGACAATAATGGGAAATGACTTAGTCCCGTCGCACATCTAAGGGGAGGGGGCTTGAATCCGACCTACTGCCTTCAGCGGAAGCCCACTCCTTACGGTGCTCCAGCGAAAGAACTCATGTGTATTGGCAATGTACCACCTCCGCTTCAACATTATAGATTAGTGTCCTCAAACTCAACCCCTCACGGTTGGTGAAAAAGAACTGAAATCACTGAAAGATAGACACAATGCAAATACCGAGGACGCTCTCAGTCACCTGAACTTCATAGTCGAGGCGTAACTTCTGTAAATGCTTCTTGTGTGACTTCTTCAGTGGGCGATGATATCGGCCAGAAACCCAGAGGGATTTGGTGTATCAGTCTGGTAAGCGAGACTTCAGGCGTGCCTTTCCGTTCACGGAACGGGAACCTGGACTTCTTTCAGAACCTACGAAATTCCATCTGCTTTCTGACAGATCCTATTGTTGGTGACGATCGAACCGATGAAAGCCATGAAACCGCACTGTAGATGATCAGCTTCAATTGTTTTTTTTTCTCCCAACACAGCAGGGAGACAGCTTCAATCTTCTGAGGTGAACAGTGCGTTCGCACTGACTTACTGCGCTTAACGGATCAGTCACGCATGAGACAAGTAAGAGCATCGAATGTTGAGTACAGTGAACCATAGACAACTGAATGCGAGATTTAGGGACGTACGTTGATGTGCTGTTCCGAAGAATGCCAATGCCAGATTTACACACCATCTGCTTCAGTTGAACCATCATACTGGGATCCACTCGGGACAAACAAGACCCGGGGAAAATAGAGGAAGCATTTGAGGCCACGAAATTGCACACGACTAGTACCAAGGAAGTCAATGTGACAATATTAGCTAGCTGAATGCCAAGTTCCGTCAGACGCAGTTGATCCATTACAACAGTCTGAAAGAAACGTGGAAAATAAGAGATGTCGAGGGACTGAGGAATACGTGGTCACGCCATTGGGAGTGACGATTACGGGCCTTAGTTTGAACTCACCATAGTGTTAACCTAAACTGACAGTTGTCCTTTTCTCTCTCAAGCTATCTACACTCGTTCGACTATCAACGAATCCGGTTGGTAGGAGACGATGGCAACGGTTCGTTCTACCAGCTGATCAAAAAGGGTTTCCACGTTCAACATTATTGACAACAGTCTTTCCCTCAAAGCACGACAGAATTACCAAACGGCCGTCAAGCTGTAACATCGACAGATGATGTAATACGAACTTATCCAAGCCTACAGAATGGTTCGGACCGTTTGGTTACTAGGCCTGGGGTTAACTCGTAGTTTTTACAAGGAATGTGGTGGAACAGCGTGATAAAATTTAAAGAAATGTCTGAATGATAACGTTCATGAACTGTGACGAGCATTTTCCGTAATTTCATCCCCATCATCGGCAACACGATATCCGTGCTTAACACTGATGCTTCACTGCCTTATGATGAAGAAAAGGTAAGGGACTCACTTTTAGCTCACCACAATCATTCCGGAGGGCCTACACCTCCAGGCACTCATTCGGGCAATCTGGATGGAAACTGACAACAAGAACGCCACTGACGTCGATTAGCAGCCATACCTTGCAGCGTCTGCGACCAGGCCGAATGGGGACTACGTGGTCCCCATCCCGGAAGGCGAGTAGCACCGACAGTACCCAAACATTTCGTACTCTCTTCCATACCCCTCTGTTCCCGCCACTCTGAATTGGGCGCGGAATACAGTACTCTCTTTGGCAAACGATAGTTCGGCATACGCAACACGTAGCCTAACCAAAGCAACTCCTGGTGCTGGACACACTCTCCAATGGAAGTCCCCGTTGCACAACCGAACACTCGCTGGTATTTAGCAACAAACCTTCCGCGGTGTGGCAAAATTCCGAATAATTCGTTGAAATCCATAGACAGGATAGTATCAAATCCTTGTTCCCTGATTCACCAAAGATCAAAGCTACCGAATTCTAGGTAAGATAAGACTGGTGCTGTTCTCAACCCATGGTGAATCTATTCAAAACCGATAACAGATAATCGTTCATAACAACATCGTTGTAGAGCGCTGATGATTCACTGCCGCACTGTACTGCTAATTTATTTCAATTAAGCTATGCAAAGGAAAAAAGTAACAGGCGGGCCAGACGGAAACCAACCACAAACGTCCCACGTAACTACAACCCAAATGCTCAATCGATCTAAAGAGGAAGTGACAGCTAAACGGTACTGACGTCGGTTCACAGGTTGATCCTTGAGAACAAAAAATAAGGGACGTGTGTAAGATAGTGAGGTCTCTAAAGTGGAGTTACACTCCATTTCTTCGTGATCAACTTGTAATAATTAGGTTCATCCTATTGTATCCCTCTGATGTACTTCCTTATAAGTGTTATGGCCATCGATTAGTTCATATATTGCTTTCCCCATAGAAATGGTTGACAGCCGAATCATACACTGATTTTTGTTAATAGTAACCGTCAATTCAATGTACGCGCAGATGAACGAAACTACTTCAAAGTCTGACCATCCGAGAGGCAATTTTTTTTGAAAATGTACAAGCATGCAAAATAAACCTACCTCGGGCCAATCCTTGCCTGTGGGCCACACCAACAGCTCCAGATAAGCTTCTCGCAGAATATTGTTCGGAGTCAAGGGGAACTCTTCGGCCGAACTGTCACTATCAGCGCTCACCCATCGCTTCCCCGCACGCTCTCCAGACGAGTGACCCGCAGAAGCCGTACTCGGTAGTTCCAATGGGGGGACATTAGTGAGTTTGGAAAAAGCAGCTTTAATCCATTCACGTGTTCGTTTCAGTCCGTCGAGTCCAAGCGCTGAAAACAGACAGAAGGAAAAGCTTGGCTCGCTCGAGATAAGATTAGACCATCGTTCATTGATTTTTAATTCACTTCATTGAAGCTGACTCTTACGGAAAGAAAAAGCCAGCTTGATATTTAATTTCGTAGAAAGTTGGATCGACGGTCTCTATCCTCTAAACGTCGAAATGCTTCTTGCAAGGCATCATAGTCCTGTGACTGCTCGAATCCTGTTGAAAGTTCGCACTCCTTCCAGCTGTCAGGAGTCAGGTTTTCCTCCCGACCGACATCTGACGTGATCCCTTACTCTCAGTATAATAATACTATCCTCATATATTATGGCGCACTTACACCAGCCTGGATATTGAGTCTCTTGGCCTCCTTGACTGAAGATGACGCAATGGTTTCCGCAACATTAACCACAAAATAAGAAAGCGTTTACGTCAGCGATCACGCTTTGATTAATAGGACATTGCATGTAGAGGTGCTAAACGGCTCTAGTTACATCAACCAGATGAACAGGGATGTGGCCAATCAGCTGACTGTCCTCAAACTTGGCATTCTTATTATTCTACCGTTCAAAGAGAACAACGTCAGAGACTACAAAACGTGGCCTGAGGGTCAGGCCAGTCTTCGTTCACAGAGCAAAATATGTTCTAGTACCATCAGTCAAAGTTCTATTCCGACCGACCGGTGGGTCCAACATCTACGGATACATGTGTAGATGCACGGCCACTTACCTAGGCAGAACGGGACGGCAATTACGACAGAGAATTGGGAAGCACCGATACAACGTCAAAGCTAGACAGCATCACTGCCTACCCTGCTGTTCTCCTCAGCAGCCCATCGTCAGCTGACGTTAAGCGGGGACCGCGTCGATCCAGCGGCCACATTGTGTTCAGCACAGCAAATAGCAGAGTTCCGAAATTTTCCGAGACCATTGCTATTCGCAAAAGCAGGCCGGATCTGTATGAATGGAAACAGCTTTTTGTTTCGCTGGCACTACCCTCGTGAACTGCAGAGCAAACCTTTCACAAGGTAACTCGTTTTACTTTTTAATTCATATATTGTAATCGATACCATGCCCCGATGATATACAGCAAAATAAGCCCGGAACATTGTGCAAAACTGAGCTGTTTGACTTATCTCCAATTTTCTTACGGGAAAAGACTGGATTTCGATGGAAAACTCATCGTCCAAAGTGTCCTTTAATCAAAGGTCTTACATAGAGCAAGACCACTGTGCAGTTTCGCAGAATGTCCCACGGATAGACATCGTGGCGCTGGGTTCCAACCTCCAAGCACCCCACATCCAATCAACCGCCTTACCTTAAATAAGGATAGACCCCAAGTTTATCTATGGGGGCCGTTTTGCACCTTTTGAATGCAGTCTTTTAAATAAAACAGAAACTCTCACGGTTCTTGTTCAACTTGAGCGCACCTGTTGACTGACAATATCTTTCGCAACAGAAATGTGTGTATTTTCATCTCATACTTGATATAAGTCGACATCTTATTTCTCATCATCTGTCATTTATTGTATGTGGCCTATGATGAACCGCACGACCAATAGGCAATACTTGGAGAAGGACAGATATGATAAAAAGGACATTTTCAAGCTTTCTGCGCAATTATGCTCACTGGTTAATGGGCGAGCCTAGTGAGCGGAAGGTCCGTCGTTCGAAACCAGCATCTGCATTTCCGCTACTCCAGCCTGACAGCCCTTATGCATCCTTCGGGTGGTATGGTAGCTGGGAACTGAAAGGGTGTTCCTAGTGAATGAAGTTATGCACCAAAGACTGGCATACATTTTCAGAGTTAACAAGATACCTTGACTCACGTGCTTTAAGGGGTATAGTAATGGCGGTAACATATACCAGTCGTCAGTTTATTGCACAGAGGTGTGACAAATCACATGTAGAGTCAAACAAAAAAAGTATGACACGAAGCTGGCGTTTTGTGAGTGGAAGGCCAGCGGTCCATATCCAACCCCGATGCGTACTTTTTCCATCTTACTGAGTGAACTTCGTATTCCAACATTTATCAGATTTCGTTCTATTTTCTGAGTTTCATAGCTAGTTTCGTGCAGCGTAGCGATTCGATCCACCCCATAGTGTCGTCAACGCCGCCCCGCTACGGCGGGAAAGGGACACAACGGTACCTAATGAAGCACCTGATGAAGACATGATGCATAATGAAGGGAAAGCGCAAAGCGAACAGAAAAGGGCGATGAGTATTCTGATAATCAGAGTGCCTAAGTCTGCGGATCAAAGCCGAAATTTTGACATTTACCTTTTTGTGCATCCAAAAACGTGGCGAATTTGGAGCGCTCGTATTGGACGGCTTGCTGTCGGATATACGGCCGCATCTGAGCGATGGTAAAGTTGGCCAAGTCCATATGCATTTTCTCCAAAAGTATGAATGCATTTCTGTAGAACGGGGAAGAAGAGGACGATAACGATTGTAAATAAAGTTGTCCACCACCACAACACTAGTCTCTTTTGTCAGGCCCACGCTGCGACACAGCTGGCCAAATGCCAGCGGAAAACACGTGGTATTAGGCGATTGATCGTATTAAAGCCCATCACAGGATATCCCACACTCACATGACACAAAGGACATCGAGGAACACTAGAATTGTTTGTCAGTACCCGTACCGAGCATAATTAGAGGAAGATTACTGGCCTGGTTTGGAGAATTCTGTAGACGGAAAGGTTCTGAAAACAGCTCGACGCACGACGGCTTCAAGTTAAGAGAGACTATCAGAAACAAGTAGCCCAACACCGTGTGGACAGCGAGAAGCCACGGTGAGCTTAGTCCCAGGTGAACAACTTAAGTGAAATACCCTGACATAATACTCCCTCCTCCTACGAGAAAACTCTACAAAAAAGAGGAAAGGTTCATCTTGTTCGCACCTCCCAAGAAGAACCATACGTAGAGGATACATTTAGTGTTACCCGAAGGCGGTTTCTTGTTGGCGAGGTTAGCACACACGGCACAGACCTCCCTCCACTGGTTAACTCGCACTTTATGCAAAATAGGACGACTTCGGTTATGCTAAAGCTATGCAACCAGTCACCGTAAGGTTTGCTCATCTGCATAGTAGACACAAAGGGAGATATCGATAAACACTCTAGAACGAAATGGTACAATGTGCTAATAACAAATTCGTCAATAACACATTCAGATGGATTCGGGCGATTGAAAACATTTTTCCCTTTGAGTGGGAAAGTCCATTCTGCTTAGCAGTATCAATGGTATTCCGAAAGACAATAATGGAGACATAAAGCAAAGCAGATGTTAACGAACAAAGTAGGGTATAATCAAATGGCCACACGGACTTAGATGCCATCAGAGAGAATACAGGCAGAAGGAATAATCCTAAACATCGGTGAGTGCTAAAATCCGTTAGGTCAAAGAGGACAAGAGGTTAACGCTTACGAAAATGTAGTACGAAGTTCTAAGCAGAACATACCCATTGTATTCCATCTGAGATAATTGGTGATACAAGCCTGTGTTTTCCATAAGACCAAGTGAATGAGGAGTCAAGGAAGATTTGGCATTCACGTTTGAAAAACGTCGCTGTATGTCGTTGAGGACTGCAAACGAGAGTTTATCCATGCAGATGCGAAAATAGCGTCGCTAAAGCTCGACTGTGCTTGATAGTATTTTCTATCCCCTATTTTTAGTCCTAGTCCCTCGGGTACTGAAACGAACCAGATTAGAAATGTCCAGGGGCGAGGTGGCTATAGTTAGAGCGCAAATTTACTGAGCAGAAGACCTATGGTTCGAACCCGACCTCTACATTTCGACTTCCCCTGTCTAGGCTTGGGCAACCTGATAGTATCCCACTCTTCATGCTTCCTTCGGGTGGCATGGCATTTAAGCACCGAAAGGGTGCCACAGCTGAACGAGAATTATCCAGAGCCCCTCGTTCGCAAATGCTGTTCTAAGGGAGCTACCTCATCCGAAGGTACAAGATCGAAGAAAGGCGTACTTTAGCGCGTCCCATCTAAAAAGGATACGGCCTTCGATTTGCCTACATGAAGGCCTTCTTGAGGTATCGACAAAATGTTTCCGACTGTTACGCTGAACCTACTAGCTGAAACTCGCTCACACAAGGTTCCGCGCCTAAAAGATAGACTCCAGTTCAGTCCAACTCGTCCGTTCCATATCTCGCAATCTGCACCTATGGTGTGAGTTACTTGAACTTACGGATTTCTGAACATCTTCTGAACTTGCTGTGCTTGGGCCCAATCAAAACTATCAATAGTCCAGCCCTGAAGTATCTGGTCCAGAGTGATCACAAGGCATTTAGTCAGTTTTACTCAGTGTGCAAACGGTATTCTAAAGAATTCCATAAACGGAAGTTGCTAACGACCGAAGCCGTTGTAATTAGAGTTTTGCAACAAAAGACAGCTGATTCAAACAGTTAATGCTGCGACCTTAGTGAGTGTGGACAAGAAGCATGTATGGTGGCCAGTCAAGTGTTCTTTTTGGCTCTTTTCTGTGAACCTACGTTTGGTTACTGAGGCACATTCGTCAGCAGGTGTTGTTTTCACCATAACTTCAGTCTGACCCGCCAATGTTTGCCTTCCATCACGATCTTAATTACGGTTGAACTTCTATGGCCGGTTTGGGAACTGTTTTGAATATGTACTTGGTTTTTCGAAAAGCAACTATTTTGCGTACGTTTTCTAAACTGAGATTTTAGAATGTGTTTGTCGCGCTATTTTTTCTGTTCACTACTGTTTTGTACCAGAATTTAACGATGGAAGAGCCGCGTGATACACCACCCATATAAAAGAATCGAAATATGATCGAGAAACCCTATGGTTCCCACATCCCCAAGTTCAGAGAACTGAGACTCCCAAACAATGTTCATACCTTTCAGAAGAGCTTGGTAAACAATCGGTAGTTTTTATTTGGGCAACGTTTCGCTTTTGGCACAAAAGCTTCATCAGGCCAAGTGAACAGGTCACAAAATTGGCCAGGTTATAAGACAGACGGGGAACCAATCAGTAAGTTCTCTTCAGACTAAATCAGTGTTGAGTGTCAATTAACGGCTCTTGTCGGCTAGTGTGGGTGCCAAAATCTTGAATCGATGTGTTGGAGGGTTCCAAATTAGTTCCGATCGCTTTCCGTTCCTTAATCTTCCACTTCAGAGTGCTTCACCTGATGATTTGCCTCGGGTGCCGCTGTTAGATTTTCCTTAGTCTTTGTGGGGTTGTGAGTGTTCCGACAATTTAGTTTGAGGGGGGTTGAGGTCAAGTGGAATCCAAGTGATGACTACTCTTCCTACTGATGACCGCACACCAACACGTGTCAGCTCGAGTGACCCAAGACCGTTCTCCACACGCTAGCCAGTTCTACGCCTTTCATTCTGTTGACGCTGGGATGCTTGGCGATTTCTACCGCCTCGGCGATCAGTCTGTGTGACGTGGACCGTAGTCCTCGCCTCAAAACCTCAACATTTTCTAAATCTATTTTGTGTCCTGTGTCTAGTGCGTGTTCCGCAATCGCCGAGTCTTTCAGTAACGCTTGATATTCATCTGCGTTTCTCGACGGCCTATTTATTTTTCTGCTATGCTCTCCGACTCTGATGTATAGTTCCCTGGCCGTCTGTCCTATATAGATTTTGGTGCAGTCATTACACTTGATTTTGTAGACACAGTCCCTGGTTCTGTTTGCCGGGAGGCGATCCTTCAATTGCACCAATGCAGAGCGCAGAGTGTTCCCCCTCTGGAAAGCTACTCTAATGTTGGCCATGTTTAGAATTCTTCGAATTGCCTCCGATGTCCCTGGTTTATATGGAATAACAGCTGTCCCAATCCATTCCCTGTTGGGTTTCTCTACCGGTATCAACACCCTTCGCAATTGACGCCTAATCAAGCTAGCTGGATATCCACTACCCCGAAGTTTGTTTTTTACCTCAATTTGGGCCGCTGTTCGATCGGCTTCTTCTGAATCATCAGGTGAAGCACTCTGAAGTGGAAGATTAAGGAACGGAAAGCGATCGGAACTAATTTGGAACCCTCCAACACATCGATTCAAGATTTTGGCACCCACACTAGCCGACAAGAGCCGTTAATTGACACTCAACACTGATTTAGTCTGAAGAGAACTTACTGATTGGTTCCTCGTCTGTCTTATAACCTGGCCAATTTTGTGACCTGTTCACTTGGCCTGATGAAGCTTTTGTGCCAAAAGCGAAACGTTGCCCAAATAAAAACTACCGATTGTTTACCAAGCTCTTCTGAAATGATGACTTCTCAATCGGTTCCAAACTTTTTCCAATGTTCATACCTGTTTTCTTCACACTTTCTGTATGATTTTTACTGACTGTCTTCTGAGAGCGCAAATCGATGTTCCAAATCCCCTTCGCCTCACCCAATTACTCAGCTTGACAAAACTTTGAAAACGTTCAGGACGATGAGAAATACTGGTGTTTCATGTGAGTTCTTGAGCTTGGTGACTAGGTGCTTCGTCACCATTGGAGCATAAAGCATAATCGCTCTGAAGGTATATTTTACAAGAAATCTTTCCAGTCTATCAGGAAGTACAGCGAACAGTTTAGCAACTAATAACTCAGTGGGTGGCCCCAATAGTACTCGGTTTCGTTCGTCGTATACCTATGATTTTTGCACAACGACGTGAGATGTTACAGGCAGCAGAGGATGTGTGCAAAACCATGATTAGAATCTTCAAATTCAGTATGAAGCAGCAAACTAACAGTACGTGTTGATCACCTGAATGCCTCAACAGGATCGTCGATTTTTCGCAGGTTTTCCACTTCCTGATCACGTACGGGTGCACAAAACTGGTGCATCATATTTATCACTTGTATTGCATAGGCCTCCAAATTCAGATGCCCTGTTTGTTCCAGTGTAGCTTTGGCTGCATCCAAATCCAAAGAGCTGTCAACGAGTTTTTGAAGAGTCTTCTGGTTAGGGAGCACCAAGCCATTTAGAGACTGAACAGGGAGTGAACGAAGAAGAAGAAAGGGTGTGGATTAGGAAACACCAGAACCGGTATTTGCATGGAAGATTAAAAGTAGCGTCCTGGAGGTGGTGTGTTTTTAACAGAATCTAGGAAATAGTATGGCAACAGACCGGATTTATCTAATGCAATGTGACTCAGTTATTAACAACTACTTGGAACCAGTAAAGTTGCATGCTAATCGCCGAGGTTACTGAATGGTGCATTTTATGTTCGGGCAGGACGCGACGTCGCAAGCAACACCGAAACATAATTCACGCGTTAATCTGGTGAGACTCCATGTGAGACTTCACAATTTATCGGTACAGTAACAGAAGTAGGCTGATCTTCTAGTTAGTCCTCGAGCTTTCATATAATATCTGATACTTACAAGGTAATTATTCAGGTATCTGAACTTCTACGTCTCCTCTACCCTTTCAGTATAACTAACAGAAGACGTATTGTGGTATATTACCAACATTTTTGTTATGTCCCTCCAGTCTCCGATGCAAATCTTCGGCCCTAAGACACATCTGTACAGCAGCCCAACTAATTCTGACGTTGACCGTCAGGGTACTCGCTCTGCGTAAACATGAAACCATAGTGTTGGACCGCTGTCTTTCATACAGTCATTCTGTAGTTTGAAGTGCAGGGCAGACATTCCCAGCCTGGTTAAATATGCTCCGAAAAACGCATTGTCAGCGTATTAGTCGTGAGGTTTCGGATTAAAATACAACCCCCGACCATCAGAAGACATCGAAATGACCCAATGATTTCCTCTCGTATAGTGTCGCGCAGCACAAACTTTAGAGTTTGAAATATAAGTGAAGATCTGCTGATCGAATCGCACCAATCCTGGCTGTGAATACAGACTGTCAAAGAAAAATACTTGGTTAACCTGATACCGGTCAAATGATCTATGGGAACCAACCGACCAACCAACCATCCTTCTAACACTGTTTGTGCTGTTCAATGTGTAGGTACAGTACGTTTTGAGTCTGTGGCCGAGGGGAGCAGAAATGCTAACAAATGGAAGCACATTAGTTATTTACTAGTTCTTAGCGAAAAATCAGTGAGTACTGCCAACGACTGTGACATGATAGCCGTGTCAAAAGTACTTTATACAAAAACCAAACCGTGGTTTGGGATCGCTGTCTGTCTCAGGATCAGAAAATCTACACGATCGGCAAAGTAACAGCAGTTTATGGACTCATTTGCAAACACTTTGCACCGTACTATTCGCCCAGAAAAGTGTAAGCCGGTACCCAGTGGTTCATGGCTATTCGTAGATTTGCGCCGCTATCTGGCCGTGTGGCTTATGTGATCGCTACAATGAAGGACTTTTGGTCACGTGTCAGGCCAATACAAGTATACTATGTAAGTAGTGTCTCTGATGCACATTGACGTAGATCCAGCACATGCTCCAATCATTCTAACTGTGCAATCTTACGTCCTGCCGCCTGATTGCAATTTTCACTTTAGAGTGGAAACCAGTAAATTGACAGGCAAGAACTGAGTCGCCAACACTAGAGTGTGTGATCTTCCGAAGGCCGCCTACCTCCGCTGCTGAACTGAGCTGATGAGCCCACTCGATAGCTAACTCTACTTACACACAGTTGAAATATTTGGTCAGTTACTGGCAGAAACAGCTTGCCACGGACGACAGGGGAACCGAAATCATTAGCTGTCGCTGGGTGGAAACACATTAATCAATGTACGGAAGTTCTGCGCATTAGAAAAAAAATGAAGATGGACGGTAGTGTTTTCACTGTGTTTTAGTAAAAAAAATACTGACAAAAGACGAAAGGGACACCCGAAAACAGAATGGCCAATATTTGAGATGACATTTAGTAAGATATCTGAACTAAGCAGGTCTTCTACGTGACCCAACTCCGTACTATCACTTCGGGAACTAATGAGCAAAGCTCGACAAGGCTATCAGCTTTACATCCTGCTAGCTTGTTGGAAGGTACAGTTAATCGGAACGATTAGGAAACCTACATTAACTCGGGTTGGAATGCTAATGCAGGCTTAAAATGAACCGGTGTTGGCGTTCTGCCTAGAACCGCCCAATCAACCTATGATGACGGCAAGATATATGACTGAAACATTATAGATTCAGACACACAATAAGGCAAGGTGGAAGCTCGGTTCATCATCATCATCATCGACAGCATGACACTGATGCTTCACTGCCGGAAGTTACAAACACCGGAAAAGGCCCCGCAAAGTTCAACAGTATGTTGCGTGTGTAAGGATTCCTTACTATTGACTGTAATGCTCAATATTGACGAAACGAAATATGGTGTACAAAGGAACAGTTTTAAATGACCAGCGAACTGCACGACAGCCTCTGAAAATTGTCTTGGTAAGCGCACACATCAGTCATTAGTGTAGATGGCTAAACATCCACAGAATCAGTAAGGGATTCGGCTGAACCTGAACGCTCCCATCAGTACAGTCTCAGCGTCTCTAGGTAAGACAATGGATAGTGAAGCATCTACCGGTAAAATCAACAAACAGCAACAAAAGGCAAGATTACCTGTTTGATTTCCGACAGTAAATTCAGAGTCGGTTGGTAGTCTGGCGGGTCGGCTTCCAAACTGGAACGCAGCATATCCCAGAACGCACGATGCATGGTTTCTTTGACAGTGTGTTCGAGGCTTCAAAGGGATAAAAAAAGATGCCGATATACAATAAAATATACACCTGTCTAGAGTAATTCGAGCGAGATATGGAATGCTGATTGAACCAACAGGAATTTTTTTTCAAGATTCACCCTCTAGAAAACAGAACAACTAATCAAGTCACTCCAAACAAGTAAATATTCTAAACGAGATGGCGATGCAGAGCGTTGCCTACATGTTGGTGCAAACAGTGCTATGGTGCAGGAAATAAGTTACAGGAGGCCCGGTCGAAAATTAAGACGACCTCTGTGCAGCAAAATCATTTGAAAAATACTATAAACAAGTTTCGGTTGGTGTTAAGCTATCACTCATTAACACCATATTAACTCGCAAGCGAGCGTATTTCGCCAATCGTGTACAATTAGGTGTTCAAGTAGAACATAAGGTTTACGGATACTCTGGAACTGCGCCCAGAACCCCAGGCAAGATGACTCCCAAGAAAGAAGGGTCCGGTTTTTTAATGACCGCCAAGAAAAAGACCACAGTTTATTTAAAGGTTAGTTTTTATTCCTGTCACCAGTTGCTTCTTACCTATCCTCTGGAGGATCGTATTTTTCTATGCGGAATTCTGAATCCACTGTGATCTCGTGCGCAAGCGACATGTTGTAGAAAGCGTTCGCGGCCTCGGTAAGCTGACGCATGGTGACAAAAGTTGGTGGAGAGGCTGTGAGATCGGGAGAGAAAATAGTCTGCTTAGTATTAAATCGGGTAAATGATACATAGAACAAAAGACGCAAGATGCTGAGCAATGTTAACCGGTCTGGAATCAAGTATATGGTCAGTTTGGCATTTCAAACTGATTGAACTAGCGCATTTTCCTTTTTCCGTGATACATTACATGAATATGAGGGCTCTTTGGATAACAAGGTCACCAGTTCCATTCAAAAGCGCAAGCATTCTGACATGCCAAATCATAAAACGAGCAAAGCGATTCCTGGAAGTGAAATAATCCACGGAGAATTTTTCCAGCCGATAAGCTGACCTGGGTCCGACTTGCGTTGGCTGTGGAAGGTCGCTAAATGAATTCAAGAGCTAAGAATGAATCGAATGATGATATCAAAGGTGAGAACTAAGAGAATGGAGATCATGGGATACGTATCAAAGTGGGTGAACGCAAACGGTGATGAGTACCAAATGAATATTGAAGCTGCGAAAGCCTTTATGAAAAAACAGCTTCTCCCAATTACTAGGTAGGGGGCTCGAAAAATACCATTGTCCTGGTCACAAGAAATTATGGGGCGACACAAATAGGGACTTAGGTGTCTAGTCCTCTGGGGTCTACAAACGATAGGAATACATCAGCTCGAAAGGCGCTCGTCGTTCTTCGCATTATCCAACACGGTTTTCCATGTATCATTCGAACGGAATTCCAAGAAGTCTACCGTCTGATTTCCACATGTCTATCAGAAATAAGCCAGATGTAATCGTGGTACGGCGCTATGTGTATCTCTGTTTACAACTGAGCTCCGGAGATTATCGCACTAGGTCGGTTCATAAACATAGGTCTGAAAAATACGGTCTTCCATATGTTCAGGAAGGGGTTCGAGTATGGACGCTGGCCTGTTCTCATCCGCAGCCTCACCGCAATATCTTAGGCCTAAGGATAATAAGCATTAGTATGGTAATCGTTTAGTTGCAACGCCCTTTCGGTGCCTAGCTGCCTTGCCATCCGAGGGAAGCACTAAGTTTGATGCTGCCAGGATGCCAAAACTAGACAAGAGCAGTCCAGTTGTCGGGGTTGGGTTCGGACCACGGACATTTCGGCCTCGTCCAGCTGTAGCACGCTTTGGGTGCCTAGCTGCCATGCCACACGAAGGAGGCACGAAGGCTGGGATACTGCCAGGTAGCCCAAGCCTAGACAGGGGAAGTCGAGTGGCGGAGGTCGGGTTCGAACCACGGACCTTCCGGTCAGTAAATTCGCGCTCTAACCACTTGGTCCATCTCGCGGCCTGAAAGTCACCTAGATCCCATGGTTGGCATCCCATAGTTACCATGTATATTGACGGCAAAGGCCCTAAATAGGTAAAACATTTCAGTCAACTGCTGAATCGCCCATGAAATGGATTCGGCAACGTCAAATAATGCCCATCGTACCGTCCCGGTGAGAGAAGACGGAAGATGAAACTTCAACCAAAAATGCAAAAAGTATGCTCATTCATATTCCCCAAACAACTCCGCAAGCTAATCATATCTGTTTGGGACACCGACCCGTCTAATTTTTGCATTTCAGTTGTACTGTCTTACTCCCAAATGGCGACAAGCAGCTTTGTGATGGTTATCCAGGCATTAACCAGGATACCTACGACGTTTCAGTTCAAACGCGCCCTTGGGCATTCAAGGCTTCGAATAAGACAGAAAGTGAAAAATTATGCTGGCACGTCACCTCTATTTCCAACAGGCTGCTGTGATGTGCTCCGCTGGCTGGTGAGCCGCGTTGGACTCGGCTGCTCGACGGGGCGTCGGCTGAGCTCATCAACATAATTTGGTCTTATTACAGTGTCCACAGCACAACTTCAGATAAAGGTGGAGAAGATTTCCTGCTTTGACTTATACGTCATACATAGTGGGTGCCTCCTGATCGCCAGTTCTCTTCCACCGCGCTATCAACTGCCTACCTGGTCATGACCCCAGGGTCTACCGAATTGTGCAGGTAATGGCAGCACATTGCTAACGTGCTCCGAGCCAATGGTTACCCGGAGAAATTTATTACCAAGAATAGGTCCGACCTCCCTATCCAATCGCCTATCACGGCCGTTGGAGAGAAGCGAATATACCTGAGCGTACCGTATAAAGGCGATCTGTTGGCAGACATAGTCAATCGCCGCTTGTTTCAATCCCTACAACGCACGTTTCCGGATGGAACTCTGCGGTCTTGGTTTACAACCAACCCTTTTCTCAACTTAAACCTCAGAGACACGATGCCAGTCCCCACCCAGAATATGGTTCTGTATTCTTTCTCCTGCTTCTGTTCAGCGGAGTATGTTGGGCGCACGACATGGCAACTTTCTAAGAGAACACGTGAGCACCTCTTTCACCGGAGTGCTATTAGATTCAACAGTTCAGCCAGAAGCTCAATTGCGTCCCACCTAATTGACATCAAGCAAGTAGTCATTCCAAATGAATCATTTATCGTGTACCAAACAGACTGCCAGTATCTATCCAACGGCGTTGCTTCAATACAGCCGAGACAACAAAACAATAAGTGTCGTAGACTGATACAGACGTCCCTTGAAATTCAGGAACATGCCGCTTTGCATTTATGGGCTTTTCAAAGTAGCGAACGCCACTCGAGACCTGGGGATTCGTGCATTGACTGTCACACCACAGTCAGAACTAATACAGTAAGACGTCACAACTTCAAATGCTTTTCCCTGGATTGTAAGTGGCGTGTTCAGTGACTAAATGGCCAGATACGTGACCTTACAGCTTGAGGGAGCTAAGTGTATGCTAAAAGAGGAGATGACTTCATTCAGTTTATCCAAAAGCACCTGAACCTTCTTTCCAAAAGCGAGAACGATGTCGTCTACATATCCCACATCAAAGAGGTTTCCGTCAGCAGCTACCTGAGCACCAGGGTATTAAGGAGCTTTCCGTGTTTATCTCATTAACTCGTCCATCACAAAATCAAACAGAAATGGAGTGGGCGTCCTTGTCGGGCACCACCGTGTACGAGTTTTTCGAGAGCTTTCTGTATACTCTCCCACGCCCAGAAGTCTGACAATACAGAGAGCTTATATTGAAAAACTTCCGGGGCATTCCATGCTGAGCAGGCGTGTCAGGGAAAAAAGACCGGCCAACTGTGTCGAATACGCCTCCGGAATTCAGGAATACTAAAACAGTGGGTAGTTTACAAGTATAAAAAATACTTAAAAATCGTTCAGCTGTAACACCCTTTCGGTGCCTAGCTGTCATGCCACCCGAATCGTGAGGAGTTTACAAGTATAAAAAATACTTAAAAATCGTTCAGCTGTAACACCCTTTCGGTGCCTAGCTGTCATGCCACCCGAAGAAGTCGTGAGGAGTAGGATACTGTCAGGGTGCCCAAGCCTAGACGTGGGAAATCGAGATGCAGAGATCGGGTTCGGACCACGAACCTTCCGGTCAGTAAATTCGCACTCTTATCACTGAGAAATCTCGTCTCCGAACACTATCATCAAGTCGTATAGTTGGTCATTCGATTGTTCACTAAGCAATCAGGTTTCAAGCGTTTCATCACCAGTCGAAGTAACACCATTAGTGTGCCGTTACGAAGTGAAGCAGCAGGACTGCAAAAGGTAGATAAATAGTATAATGGATCCGTACAGCGAATCCAACCTCGTGGTCTTCAACGAAGTTTGATCGAGAAAGGTAGAACGCCGTAACTCACTTCGACCCGACTGACTGAATATTGACGTTCGGTGCCCATCCGACACGTCTCCAAGACTCCGGTACGGCGCGCTAAAAAACGTACAAAATGCTGCCAAGAAAACGAAGTGCTACAGCAACGCGCCAGGAGGAGATTGGAAGCGCACTCAGATAACTGATCCGTCCACTTAACTGGTTCCCGATTGGTACGCTGAGGAGATCCTCCCCAGAGCCCAAAGGAAGTATTTGCCGCCAGATTTCGATAGGCTTCCCATATCCGCACCAAGATCTTATTGAAGATTGCACTCCCCATTGTCTGCAGGAAACTATAAGAACCTGTCCCATGGGCCAGATGGCGGTTTTGGACGACGTAGGCCATCATGCAAAACTTCTAAGCTGCTAAAACCTATTCAAACTAGCTGAGCAAATTAACGATAAGTGTCATCGTCATGACTCGATTACTGTCGAACGTATCCTTACGTAGCAGAAAACAATGTTCACCTTGAGTTCCTTATTGCTAATGCAAGCGCCTGAGACAGGTTTGATCTGCACCCATGATCGATAGTATCACAAGAACACGAGATACCACTGCCTAACTGCAATACAGCATTGAGAACGACAACGCCTTTTGGAATGCGCAGTACATATGACCACCACCATAGCCTGATACGCCTTGTTTGTTTCATCGGGATTTCCGAATCTAAATATTGGTTCACACACGATTTGATTGTGTGCCAGTGTTTTGGAATGTGAAGCACATAACCAAACCTCCACAGTTGATGGTAGTGGATGTTTTTCGCGATTGAAGTATCTATTGCATAACCAACTACCCATTTTCTAGTCACCTCGTTACTAATCCGTTGACGTCATCCAAAACCACCAACGCTTCTGAAGCATCGGTGGTCAAAAACCTGAAGATGCCTCACATCATCTATCCAGACAGGCCAAGTCTCGCACCCATACAACACAGCCCCTACTGCAGCCTGGTGGACACGAACCTCAAGATCCAGTGACCTGCCTTTTGACGCCACAAGTGACGCAACTTAGCAAACTTGATTTGAGCCTTTGAGGTTCTTGCACTCAGTCTATCATCAGAGCTAATGCAACCACAAAGATACGTAAAAATTTTCATAACGCTCAGTGGTTCTCCTTGAATTGTAAGGAGCATGTTCAGAAACTACCGTTATGGAGCACGACTCGGTACTTTGACTGTTGAAGGCGCATGCCGAAAGATGGCATGATGATGATCAGTCTATTCAACAGGGTTGGTCAGATCTCTAACTATTAACACACCTGAAATAGGAGTCTGTGAGTGACGCAGGGACGCAAGGCGCCACAACACGGCTAGGTCTTGTCTCTCGTGACGACCTGATAGCACTGGATGTGACAAATTTAGGTGAAAGCCTATTAAAGGCCTAAGACCGGTCACGAGACCTGACATATGTTTTTATTAGGGACAAGATTTCAATTGGAGCACCACCACCTAGCAGGTGATTCCAGTGTTTGGTGATATCGAATAGGATGCAATATTTAATCAAGGCTACCATCGTTGGTATTCGAGAGCCATCAAGCTGTTCTTAGAAGCACTCCATTCCGGAGGCATTGTTCTTCGCTGCAGTTCACTCAGGCAGGCCACAAAAGTTGCTGCACCTCCTTAGAGATGACAGGATGCAGTCCATCTGGGTCAGTTGCTTGTTAACAATTGTGTTTTATCCTGTTGAACAATCTGGGTACGTGCACATTGTCTCTAAGGTTAGTGTTGCAGCGGGTGAGCTGGATTAACCTCCGAAACCTCTGGTTTGCCAGAGGATACTTCTGCAAACGGTTGGCCAGGTGGCTTCTCCTTCTGCTTTGTTGATGGTATTTCTCCTTTTACCGGCTGATTGAAACAGCCGATACAGGACATAACTCGATTCTGAACCTTCTCCCNCATCAGTATTTTGCTTCCACAAACTTTCACATATTCAACTTTTCGAAGGGCTGTGTACGGCTACAGTCACCACCTGATGGTATGTTTCCTAGTATCAGTCAGTTACTGATCTCGACGGTAATGAAGCATCGGTGTTGAACATTGATGTCATGCTGTCGATGATGATGATGATGATGATGATCTCGACGATATAAAGGTTGTGTCCAAGAAGTAGGACAAACAGTTTTAAAGGCTGTTAGCACAGCCCCCTTTAAGTATTCATGTACATCATCCAAGGACATTCGGACAGGATACAATCAAAACTACTGGGTTACATATGTCCTCCAGGGTCCTTGAGAGAATTGCATTCCCGCATGTCCACACAACGGCATGGTCGGCATTGATTTCCATATCCCATCTATCTCATACGGCAGACCTATACCGGTAGCTAATTGCCCTATGAACCAACAAGTTCACCCAACCAACCACGTTCATTCGGATTTGATGGCCGCCAGGCTAAACGGTGCGACAGCCTACATCAGAATTTGTATCTTAAGAAACAGGTGATGCTCATCACACAGCTCGAGCAGTCGCGACGAGCCCCCAACCCAATGCGATCATAAATGTGGACTTTCATTGGAGGCAGCCTACTATGTGCATTATTGGTGCCTGCAAAGATGTATTTTTCCGCTCGATGAAGCAGTGCAGACGGACACTAGAAGGTACATTTTTAAAGTCCGAGCTGGTGTAGTCGGTACAATTCATGGCACCGAAAGTAGACACCAGCAGAGTGGCATTGACGCCGATCGAGTTAGACAGGCAGACAGCACAAAAACTGTTGTCATTGATACTAAGTCAGGCAGAGAGCATTCAGTCCCACACCATTTATACAACGGCCCAGAGTGGTACGATGATCAGAAACTCAGAAAGTGAAATGTGGGAAGACTGGATTCCATTTAACGGAGTACAGATGCACGACTAAGTTCGAGTTTCGTTCGCAGGAGATAGAACAAACGACCTTCGTAATAAGGTCTCTATGTGTAGTGAATCGCTTCGATTTATTGAAGTGACCTTTGACTGTATTAAACACGAACATCATCGACAGCAACACACCAGTGATGAGTGCTGGGGGGCTGCGTTTGACTCCCTCCATCATTCTGTCGTCAATGCTTATCAACTTGATGGTAGCTTTTGAACCGAAGGAGGTTCAAAAAACTGAACGCGCATCCCTTTACGAAGACATCGGCTGAAAACCTAACCGTGTCACATACCAAAAAAACAAATCGGCTCACGACAGGAAGTAAGTACTGATCGGTTGACACGGAAACAAGAGCACTTACAAGGGGTCGTTCATTGTCTTCTTCAAAGACTGCTGGTTGAACAAACTACCCTACGAACTTACCCTCCAGATATTGCCACATACAGATGAATTAGAAATATGGTCATAACACAGTAACCTTAATACAAGTTTGACAAACCACTTTTCCACATACTGCAATCTTCGAACACTTAAATTTTCAAATCCATAGTCGCGGTATTCCCTGTCGTCGCCATACCTTATCAGCACTGCCGGAGCAGACTCCATCAGCTATGACAAACGTGTCTCAAAGATGTTTAGGTACCGTAGAAACGGTCAACTGCGATCGCCCCCATCAGTGTTCCAAATCGTATGTTTTATGTGAAGGTATCACGAGTGTGAATAGTCATGCGCAGTATTGCGAATTCTGTCGGATCGGCTTTAGCTGCACAACTAACTCTACGCTGCCTCCAAGCGATCGGTCAACCAGAGCCGGTCGTTTCCAGAATGCACATAAACGACTGAAAACCCTAGCCACTTCGAATGACTTCAGAATTTTGCGATGCTTATTCAACCGGCACACAATGTATACTTTGTGTGGGTCCTGTAGCGCTGTCACCTTTTCGCCGATATGGTTCGCAGTACATCGCATAAGATATACCACAAACCAGAACCTTCTGCACACCATAGCTCTTATCAATATGTTCTTTTGCTCGTTAATCGAATCACTATTACCACAGTCTTTCGATTCTCCATTTTTGTGACCTATGAGGAGTTCATGAAAGGCTCCGTAGGATTTTAATAATAAATAGAACCTAAATTTGGTTTATATGCACTGCAGCAGCGTTTTTAAGTGTTTGTTCCAGTCGCTCTCCGTCTTTTCGTAAGGTGTAAGGCTTTTTCAATATAATCACCGGCGACCTACATGGTCTCTACATTCATGTAATGGGAATGTTGTTGACACAAATCAATGATACCTAAAGCGCTATTCAGCGACTAAGTATAACTATACAGTCGAAAACGAGGTATTTATCGCGCAGGTCCAGGTGACGAACTAACGATAAATTGTTTCCGAGGTTGTGATTATAGCATCAGCCCTCTAAACGCAGTATCCCGCCGAACGTTTTCACGTCTGCCTTTGAGCTTCGAAGCTCAGACGGAGCGTGGCCTAGCTCATCCACAGCCGCTCAGGCTTCAGTAACCTGACTCCAACCTTCACAGGTACCTTTCATATTGGTTGTTGATCCTTGGTAGCCGAATTCTGATAAGTTGCACGGGCGTATTTAAAAGGGAGAGTAGAAAAATAAATAACTTGTTTCTCAAAAAGCTCACGTGGCAACTGAAAACCTTCCCGCGCCGATGACTGCTTTTTTATTGGCATTCCAGGATCGTCCTCTGTTACACTATTTTGCTCCTCTGCTTTTTTATTCGCTCCATCATCCGATTCCATCCTGGTATAAATATGTGCGGGATCCGTTAACTAGAACGTCGGGCACAACAACGAGTGCGAGCGCCCAGGGTCGTGCTCCCTCAAACTCAACGCCCTGATTGGCTGTGGTGAACACCCGCTGCTTCGTGAAGTCAGTTCTCAAAGTGAATACAGTCATGAGGTTACCTAAAAGTACATACCACGAGTCACTCATACTCTTCCCAGGAGGTATTGGGATTGAGGTCTTTTTTGCCTTTTGCGAAATTTTCGCTGGATGTTGCGATTTTGTTCCCATTAATGGATTCACGGATTGATACACAGGATCGAGGCTTTTACCCAAAGTGGCGTTTTGTACCTTTATTTTACTTCCATTATAACACTACGTATTTCATCAATCGCATAATAGTTTTTTGTTTGAATACGAAAAACTACAAAAACGCGCACTTTGTATAATTTCACAGAATACAATCGTGGTCACGTGTTTCGACTCTCTCTTCTGATTTCGCTCGCGCTTGCAGCGGTCATTCGCGAGTCTCATGCACTGACTCCGTTATCAAAACATTTCAGGCCATCTTCGGAATCTATTATATGTGGGAACTGTCCAGAAGAAGACCTCTGGACCAACATAATTGGATTATTGTTTATTCGCTGACCTGG